TTCTTTTTCCTTTTTTTTTTTTGCATCAAGGTGGGCAAGCCAGATGCAAAATCGCTTGCCACGTAGGCATGAGACAGTCACATTTCGCCACACGATGCAGTCCTCAAACGGCAGTTAACAGCAGTTAAGTTGACGCTTGCCACGTAGGCATGAGACAGTCACATTTCGCCACATGATGCAGTCCTCAAACGGCAGTTAACAGCAGTTAAGTTGACTGTGAGAGGAGGGGCAACATTGCTCGGATTGTAGAGTTCAGCGGCTTTATATTGCTCTTTTCCTTTGCTCGCTCACCTTTTCTTATATTCAGACACCGTTTGGCTTGCAATTGGGTTCGTAGATCTGTTGCTGTTTCTAGTTTGTTTGGCCTAACTAATTCGATTATCATTGTCCATTTTCTTTAGTTTTTTCTATTAAATTTGCAGTTCTATTGTCTATTTAGATCTTTAATCTTAATTTTATGTGCTTACGTTATCTTTAAAGTGTATATATTAAATGATTTTTTTTTTTTTTTTGCAAGAGCTTGACTTTATTCAAAATCTCCAAATATCTCCTCATTTTAAAATTGGTTTTTAGCGAATGGTTACAATCTTTATTTTTAAATGTGCTTTTAACTAATTAATTTGTAGCGACTAAACAAATTCTATGAATTATTCTTTTGGTTACTTCAACTAAATTATACATACGACTAACTGTAACTGATCATATTTGAAAATTGTTTTTCTTTTAGGACAACGGCTACGACTCCAAAGAATTGAGCTTGCAACTAGATTTGCTGTGACTTGTAATTTGCTCGGTTTAATTTGGTCATCATCATCAATTTTTTCAGTTTTATCTATTAAACTTGCAGGTAAAACATTTAGATCTTCTATCTTATTCTCTTTTTTTGGATATTCTTTCATGTTAATTCTCTTAAGTTTTCTTTTAACTATATAAAATAAAAAAGTAGATACAATAGCATACCCAAAAATACAACTATTTTAGCATATCAACGACTAATTACCATACACACTCTTCAAGAATAACCCCCTTTGATATAATAATTAGCTGTTTTATTCAAATTATTATAGGATAGTTGTTTAATAAATTTATTTTCAATTAATTAGACTAGTTCTGAATAATAAAAGTGTTTGACGACATGTTCCAAAAAAAAAAAAAAGAAAACTCCTTGACAACACAAGTATAATTAATTGAACTTTCAATTATTAACAACTCTAAATGGATATTTAGTCAATAACCATTTAGAGTTAACAATGTTAGACCTAATAGTTTGTCTAATTGTGATTATATTTAAGAATTTCAATTACTTTAGTACTTAATTTGAGCAAAATAGAATTTTGAGACAATTATGAATTTAGTGAGAGTTTGGAACCTTGTTTATTGCTTAAGCCATTAGCATAGTTATTAAATTGGATGAATATATCTGCCACCAAACAAAGAGGGACAGAAATAAAATTAGTATATCAACTAGCTTATTCATTTATATAATATATATAGTTTGTTTCCCATTTCCTGTGGTAAATGTATGGTTTTATACCTCCTACATATGGTTGGAATTGCGAATTTAATTTAACTTTTTTTTATTTTTTATTTATGCTTTCGAATTTTCTGTTAGTGAACACTAGAAGTATATTTTTATTCTCATTATTTATTATGTTTCAGGACCTTTTTTAATGGCGGACATAGTAGGGGCGATCTTCGGTGCATTCAGTTGCATTTGTGGTACTCCAACCTGCAACTGTATAGATCAACATAGAAATTTTAATGATGATGTGGATGAGCTGAGAAGAAAATTGGACAGTCTAACTAGTCAGAAACAATATATAGAATCAAGAATACAAGTAGCGGAGGCTCGTGGGGGACAAATGGTTGGACAACAAGTGCAAGAATGGCTTAAGCAAGCACAAGAGATCAATGTTGATGTGCGAGCATTTTTAGAAGATGTGCAGGGAGTCAAGTGGTGCAAGCATGCCTGTCTTGACAAACGTGTTTGCAGAAAAATTGATGTGGTGAAGGACATGCTTGAAAAAGGTAGTTTTCCTGAAGGCCTTTTTATTGAGAGAGCTCCAGCTCATGGAAACACAATTCCAACGGAGAATTTAGTGGGGGAAATTTCTACTGAAGAAGAAATTCGCGGGTACTTGATGGGTGATGAGGTTGGAATGATCGGAGTTTGTGGGATTGGTGGAGTTGGAAAGACTACGATCATGAAGAATCTCCACAACGATTTACAAAGGGAGACTAGATTTGAGAAAGTGATATGGGTTACTGTGTCACATCCTCTCAATGTTTTTGAATTACAAAAGAAGATTGCTGGTGCTATGTACACAAGACTTCCAGAAGATGCAGAGGTGATGATGCGAGCAGCAGCACTAATGGAAATAATGAGAAGAGAGAAATTTGTGCTAATATTAGATGATGTATGGCAAAAGTTCACTCTTAAGGAAGTTGGAATTCCAGATCCGAATGCACAGAAAGGTTGCAAAGTAGTTGTCACTAGTAGATCAATTGAAGTATGCAGTTATTTGTGTTGTAAGATTGTTAAAGTGCAACCTCTTTCACAAGAGGAGTCTCTAAAGTTATTCCTAGATACTGTTGGGGATGATATTTTGCAAGTTACAGGGTTAGAAGACATTTTGAAGCTCATTGTGGAAGAGTGTGCCGGTTTACCACTCGCCATTGTTGTGATAGCAGCAAGCATGAGGGGAGTAGATGATGTTAATGTGTGGAGAAATGCACTAACTGAATTACGAGAACGTGTAGAGGGTGTGAATGATTGGGATGATCAGATATTTCAACGGTTAAGATTTAGTTTTGATCGTTTGGATCGGTTGGATATCAAAAAATGTTTTCTGTATTGCTCCTTGTTTCGAGAAGATTATGAGTTTTCTAGAATGGAGTTGATAGAAGGTTGGATTGATGATGGATTAATTGATATTGATGATTTGGGAAGTAGACAAAAAGCATATGATAGGGGTCATGCTTTATTAGACAAGCTTGTAAAGAACTGTTTGATTCAGAAAGGGAGGGTCTGCAGACTTCCTAGAGTTTGTGATGTTTTTAAGATGCATGATGTAGTGAGAGACATGGCTATCAGAAGCATCGGTCCTGAATTTGGATATATGGTAAAAGAATTGAGAAGGGTAGCGAATGCGCGAGGGTGGGCCGAAGATTTCAGGAAGTTGTCTCTAATGGCAATTTACATTTCAGAACTTCCTGCTGGTTTGTCATTGAAGTGTCCGAGTCTTTCAACTTTGATATTATCGGATAATCATATATCGGAGATTCCAAAATCCTTTTTTGAAGATATGGGCACACTCAAGATTCTTGATCTTTCTCGAACTGATATTGAGACTTTACCTGATTCCATATGTGACTTGGAGAATCTCTCTGTGTTGCGGTTGACGGGGTGCCAGAGGTTAAAGTGCCTGCCTTTCTTAGGGAAGCTTAGGGCACTGAAGAAGTTGGATTTGCGAGGTGCAGGAATAAAGGTGGTCCCTCAAGGCATGGAGATATTGGAAAGTCTTGAATATCTGAATTTATTTTGTAGAAATTTGAAAGACATTCCAACAGGAATATTGCCTAAACTTTCTAGTCTACAGTACTTGACAGTATGTTATTTGGAAGGAACCAGTCTAAAGATAGATTCAGAAGAGGTTGCGAGATTGAAAAAGTTAGAGATTTTAGAATGTCGACTTGATGGTCTACATGAGTTGAATTCTTTTGTGAGATCGTTCAAAAATTTCCAAAGTCTTACAGCTTATGGGCTTGTTGTGGGTTCTGGGCCTTGGAAGAATGATATGCCACGCATTACAGATGAAAAATTTTCATACGACTGGAGTGATTATGGAAGTTGTCTTCAAATTAAACGTTGGCTTGAAATTAATCGGCCGAAGATAGGTGGAGAATGTATGGTGATGCTTCCAGATAACCTTGAGGATTTGCAGATTACATGCATGCAATACAGGACAAGCAGGAGCTTAAACAAAATGGTTTTGTTAGAAAATGCAACCGAGTTGAGAAGGTGTCGTATCAGTGATTTTGAAGGGATAGAGTGCGTGGTTCAGTTGGACTCATCATCCTCCCCCTCATTATCTTGTCCAGTACTCGATAAGCTTGAATGGCTGTTTATTAATAATTTGTCCGACTTGTGTGTGCTTGTGAGAGTGGTAGGAGTACCAACACCACCACGCGTCTTTTCCAATCTTAAAGAGCTTTATATAAACAGCTGCAGAGAAATGAGGAAGTTGCTTCCACTTGAGCTACTGCAAGCCCTTCAAAACTTAGAGAAGATTCAAGTTTGGAATTGCACAAAAATGGAGGAGATAATAGCATCATCAGATTCAGATGCATCATCATCGAATAAATTCACTTTCACTTTTCCTAAGTTAAGGAAGTTGGATTTGGGACACTTACCCAAATTGAAGAGTATCTGCAGTGCCAAAGGAGTGATGATTTATGATTCTATTGAAGAAATTAAAATAAACACATGTCCGGAGTTAAAGAAGAACCCTTTTCAGCACCTGCTTGATAATGGCCAACTATCTCCTCCTCCTCGTCTCACAGCAATCAAGATTCATAAAAGCTCAAAAGGATGGTGGGAATCACTGGAGTGGGATCATCCTGACGCTAAGAACCTTCTTCAACCTTACTTGAAATATTACATTTGATTGAGGGTAAGGTGTTGATTGATTTACTACTATTTATTTCTAATTTGAATTTGATTTGATAATATATTACAGTAAGTTGCTGAAAATTTGGGAAATAATTTGTGTAGGGTGAAGTGAAGAGCTGCAAACAGCAAATGGACTTGTTGACAAATTGTAACTTTCCAGAGATTAAAGTCACGTGCCACCTGAATAACACGTGCCCAATAAAAGCTCTTCCTCAATTCCTTCCTTACTTCCACGACGAAGTCAGTTGGGTATTCTAGAAGAGAAAGAGGTGGATGTTTCTGAGATGGAAACCCTAAGTGGGTATATTCTGGAAGACAAAGATATCCAGCCTTCGCTTCATTACAAACTCCAACCAGTAAGTATAGGTTTCACTATCTCTATTTTGACGTAACCTGTTTCATTCAATAATAGAAATTTTTATTTTTAGTAATTTGATTTGTGTTGTAAGCTGATAAGCATATTATGTTATGTGATTTCTACTCTGTTTGTTTGGTGCTTGTTTGATTAATATAATGTAATACATTTTGGTGTCATGAATTGTTGCAACTTGCAAAGAGGGGAATTCACAAGTCAGATTTCCCCCAGAGAAATGGCATATGGTCTCATTGTGAACAATTTTCTTCTGTTCAGTTATTACTTTTACTTCATATAGTGGATTGGCCCCTTCTAAACTTCTCCCCCAAATCCAAATTCTTGGTCCACTACTGATGAGATGTTTGTGTTTTTATATACCAGCAGTTTTGTTGATGATTTCTTTTGCTTTCATAAATGAAAATTTTGGTTCTTTTCTCCGAATCTTCATATTTTTACTGAACAATTTTTTTATTTCTTTTTAGAGCAAATGCCATATATTAGAGCAAACGGTATCGGTACCCTTTAACTTCTAAAGATATTTAATTTTTTATATTAAATTGTCTCAATTGTACAGATAATTTCCTGTTGGTTCTGTGAGGTATTTATTCTATGAGGGTGAAGCGGAAGAGGTGAGGAAAAATGAAAGTGGAACTACAAAGAAGGTTGACAATAAAGCAGTTACCAACAATATCAACAGGTTAATGCTATTTTTGCTTCATTATTTTCTTGAATGTGTTTTTATTTTTATTTTTATTTTTATTTTTTTGGTGACAGTACATATCTTGGTTAATGATAATTCTTGTTTAGCTTCTAGCAAGGGTGCATCCAGAGAATTGGTATTTTAAATCAGAAATACGAACTTGTTTATGTGAAAAGTAGGCAGCTGTCAATAAAGAGGATTTTCATGTAGAGAATTGGTATTTTTCCTTATAAGGTTAATTCCCACTAATTCAAATATGGAAATCTTCTAGAGGTGATTACAACTATGGAGTGCTTCTGACTCTTTGTTTTGCCTTTTGCTGATTAATTCAAGTAATTGGAGGTTTGTATGCATGGCTCTAACTGTTTGGTCTTTCAATGCAGGCCTCCCGCACCCAAGAAGTTTCTTGCATTAGGAAGTGCTGCTCCTCATCTGGGAAGGAAAGCAGGAGAGGGGAAAGCAGGGAAAGCAAAGGATTCCAAGCAAGGCAATATCTCATTGTTCTTCTAGAGCATTAATTTGAGAAGATTGGCAGAATGAAGTTTCGGTTTCTTCTTCCTAGCCATCATTCTTCATTGGATCTCATTCTTTCTTTTGATTGGATAATTATAGATCTAATTCTTGTTTATCTACAATGGGAGACTGGTAGTGGTAACCCTACCAACCACTGAGGTAAGTTATTTTCTATGTTATGTGTGTGCTATATAAACAAAATGACATAGTTCCCAGTAATCCGAGTTACCTAAATTGTAGTTAATTTGTCTAGGAGTTCTAAAAGGTGCATTTGGTTTCATATGATTTCATGGCATTTGAAATGTCTTTTATGTGTCTTAATTTTGATCCGCTAAAGCTTTAGGACATCTTAAGTATCAAAAGATCGAATTGATGTTCGTAGGAGATTCAATGCAGAGAGCCCAGTTTGAGTCAATGGTTTGTTTGGTGCAATCTGTGATTCTTGAGGAGAAGAAATCCTTCCGTAGAATTCCGCCCACAATGATCTTTAAAGCTGAGGTACCATGACTTTTCTGCTTATCCTGCTTTCCTATAAATGAATTTTTACTTTATCCTAATAAATTCACATTTAACATGTTAAATTGTTTGAATCTTATGTCTATTTCAAAAGACTTGAATCCTTAAATTAAAGGAAAAACTTATAAAAAATGAAAGTACGCATGTCACCACGTTAGACACTTGATCATGGTTTTTTGAGCTTTGGAAATGTGTTTCAGGAGTACAATGCATCAATTGAGTGCCATTGGGCTCGCTTCATGGTGGATTCTGATTCATACAATGCAACATGCTATACTATCCTGAAATGACTAGTGAACCTTGCTGCCAAAGCCAAACATGGTAGGAGCTAGGAAGGACTTGATGTATTGGTGTTTGAGAGCTATATCTGGTGGATGCACAAGCATAACAAGCCTAGGTCAATGCTATGTAAGTTTCGAGTTTTCAAGCTAAGGCTTTCTATTCTGTCCAAATAATTATGGCTTTTGTGAACCTTGCTGCCATAGCCAAACACAACAGGAGCTAGAAGGAGTTGATGTGTTGGTGTTTGGAGCAATGTCTGGTGGATGTACAAGCATAAAAAGCTTCAGATCAATGTTATGTAAGTTTTCAGTTTTTGATCTAAGGCCTTTTATTCCATCCAAATTCTTCTGGTTTTTGTGCTTAAGTGCAAGTTTTTTATTTGAAGATACATTTTGGAGTCCAACAAGTTAACCTAAGTTTTAACTTTCTTCCTGAGGTTCATGTTTTTTATTTTTTTTTTCTTCTTTATCAGTTATGGAACTCCTGGGATTTTTCAAAAATAAAATGTGACAACTACTCGTCAATTGAGAAACCTGGGCAAATTGGATAAGAATCTAACATCAGTCCTTTATGTCCCCAACACATGTCTGTGGTATGTTTCACTTGCTGTTTTCTATTAAGAAACATCCCAAGCTCCCAAATTATGAAAATGATGATAATATAGGGAGTTATCAAGCTGTTATAAACCATTTTGATGAAGTAGAAGAAGTTAATCCTTTCTTTGTTAATCTTCTTTTCTTTTCAAATTTACAAGATTTTTTTTTTTAATGATATGATTCTTATTACTAATCAGTGATCATGAAAATGTAGAACCCTTCAAGGCTTTCACCTCTTCCTGCAGAACTAGTTGCTCTCTACTATGGTGGTGATGCAAATCATGATATCCCTCGTGCTACAGTCACCAGACCTAGTTTTAAGGTTAGTTTACTTACCTAAAGTCCATCTCCATCCATGACCATGGTGAAATTGAATTGTGATTTTTTGTTTTGTAGATTGGCCACCATTTGCCCCAATCGTTCGTAATGATATTGCAAATGATGTACTGATTTATCTACAAAAGTTTATGTTTGTGCCTTTTATCATTCTGAGGTATGCAAGCTTTTTCACTTTTGTACTTTTTCTATATGGTTATTTTAGCCTTTCATTTTGGTAGATTATGTATATTGACAGAATGCATGCAATTGTATCCGAGATGTTATGGTTATCAGTTTGTATTGATATATGTTATGAATGTTATTTTTTTTTTTTCTTCCCCTATGCAGGATTGGTTTCGTGCTTTTTTTAGAATGACATATGGCTGCTACTCCAGCATTCATCAAAGGGGAAGGTTGGAAGCCAAGCGATAATGAGAACTGCTTTAACAAGACCCATCCAATCCAAGAGGCATCATACAAGAACTCAAGATCAATCATTCCAGTTTTGAACATTACACAATTGTTAGAATATATCAGAAAAATGCTCATACATTTCTGTTTATGAAGACCCTAAAATTTTGTTGATTGCATTCATTGGTGCTTGCCGGGACCACCCTAAGAAGATGCTCAGTGCATCAGTTTATGCTCATACATGGAATGAGATTTTGTATGCATAATTGTTGAACGGTTGTAAAAATCTTCTGAACTTCATTTTTGGAAATTAAGAGTGTAAAATCAAGATACTGACACAGTGAGTTTCATCATTTTCTTTGCGGTAAGACAAGATATTTGCTAAAATCGGACAGAGACAATACCAGAGAAAGTCATATCTAAAAGTTTTGTAAAACAGAGTTTTTGATAAAAATTATCATCATTTTCAAGTCTCTTACAAATGGTTTGAGTCTCAACTCTCAAGGATTGAGCTCCCTTTGGAGTCCTGAATCTCTCTTGGTTGAATGTCTTTTTTATGCAACCTTCAAATTCTAATAATTGCTTACAAATAACAGGCATGTTTCCTGTGATTACTTTAGTTCAAATTTTTTTGAGATCAGAACATTTAGCTCTTAAAAGTATTTCTTTTGTCAAGTTCTTTGGGATTCCAAACTTATTTTTCAAGCGCAATGTTAATGGAACAAGCAAGATTGTAAGAAGATGGTACTTGTAGAGGCCTACATGATTAGGTTGCCAAGTAATTGAGGTAGTCTGAAAATTGAAAGTGAAACCACAAAGGAAGCTGACAGTAAAGCAGTGATCAACATATACCATCAACAGATTAATGATAGTTCTTGTTTGGCATCTGCTTTAGAAACTTGATTTTGGTATTCTAAGCTTTGGAAATGTGTCGGGTATATATATC